TCAAGCCCACAGGGGAATCCCATGCCTGTGGAGGTGCACCAGCCCTCTGGCGCAGTTATTGTTAGGACTTAGTTGATCAGAAAGGCAGAAAAAAATACTATCGACTGGGGGGTTTCAAAACTCGTGGAGTTTCCTCTCCCTGCAGGTCTCTCCAGTTGCACATAGGAAATCAAAAGTTGCTGTTTTAATTAATTTTCATTTAATTAAAACCAACATATTCCACCTGAAACTAGAAGGAGAGGAGGAGAGGTGTGTGTGTGTGTGTGCGCTGCTGGCTTTCGTTTTGTTTCCACGATGTCCAGATCTTTGACGTCTCCAACAAGACGGATTTCAATTTCGCCGGTATCCAGGTCCTCCGAAGCCCTCAAACACCCCAGCTGTGGCGGGTTCGAATCTCTCAGGCCTGAGCCACGTTCCGAATTTTCTTGGCCTCTTTCACGGCGGGCAAGGGGAAAAAAACCAAATCATTCTTCTGTTCAATGTACACAAAAAAAAGGAACGGTTTTTGCTTCCTATAATGCATTTTAGATTAGAGACAAGATACGACCGATTTTCAGCCCGGACGCACGACCGGTTCTGCACAAGGGGAACCAGAACCGGATGTTCCAGACAGGAGGGGGAAAAGCCCGACTCCCTCTGCCCACAGCTCGGTCAGGACGTGTGGAGAAGTGGCAGGCAGTGCTCCTCAGCAGGGAAGAAAAGTGAGAGTGGATTGTGGAGAGAGGACACCTTTCCCAGTCCAGTTTCCAGCACACTGTCTACAACAGCGGGTCTAAATTCAGGTCCCAGGTGGCATTTGGCATCCCATTACCTGTAAAGCGCTTTGAGTGGAGTCCAGAAAAGCGCTATATAAGTGTAAGCAATTAATTATTATTATTATTATTATTATTTGTTTCAACCCAGCTCTTAGGCACGGGCTTTTAAAATCCAGAACAAGATTTGTATTCAGTGTTAATGAGTGGGTTCCAGGAGTCCGGCTCGGATATAAAGAACTGGACTTCAGTAGAAGGCCAGCGCCTCCCAGTGGGTGTGTCAGGTTACAGTGCCCCTCCCACACTGGGCACGTCTGTTTATCATCAATTAACTTATTAAGAGCTGTTTAGTCAGAAATAAGGGAGCAAATTCTCAATTAGCAATCTAAGGCGTTCAGTTCCGTGTAACTAAGTAATTTGAAATAATGTACTTTAATTTGGGTCCTTTTGAAACTAGGCAGAAACAAGTCTAAAGTTAGCACTGGAACTAGTAATAGGTTTATTCCATGCTGAAAAGAGAAGAGAGAAAACACAACGTTTCGGCCGTGGAGCCTTCCTCAGGTGTGAGAAAGACAGGCCAGTAAGCAAAGCTAATGTAGCAGGAGAACAAAAGCT